CCCGCCTCTGCCGCCATCCCCACCCCCCAACCCCCCGCAGCAGCAGCACCACCACCACCAGCAGCAGCAGCAGCAGCAGCAGCAGCAGCAGCAGCAGCAGCAGCGGGAGGGGCCCGGGTGTGTGGTGCAGGACCTGTCGGAGCTGGACCGGCTGCTGAAGGAACTGGGGATGACCTTCTACCTGGAGCAGTCGCGAGACATGACAATGCTGATGCCAGTTAATGCTGCTTTTGCTGCTGCTGCTGCAGCAGGAGTGGACTTGCACAGACTGTCTTGGCAGGCCAAGTGGCGGATTCTGCAGTTCCACATAATTCCCAACCAAGTCGTGGACTTGGCCGACGCGCTGCGGGCCCAGCAGCAGCAGCAGTTCGACACTTGGGAGGGGTCCCCGCTGCTGATCGGCAGGCGCAGCAGCAGCAGCAGCAGCAGCAGCAGCAGCAGCAGCAGCAGCAGCGGCGAAGGGGAGGCCGAGGGGGAGGCGCCCGAGTACGTCGTCAACGGGGAAGCAAAGGTCATTTCAAAACCACCCAAAATCGAAACTTTCAACGGCGCTTCTTACAAAATCAACAAAGTAAACCCTAAACCCTAAACCCTAAACCCTAAACCCTAGAGGGCGGAAGCCGAGAGAGCGCACCGGGGAGGAACTGCAGCAGCACTCACCGCCCCCCAGCCCCCAACCCCAAACCCTAAACCCTAAACCCTAAACCCCAAACCCCAAACCCCCAACCCCAAACCCCAAACCCCAAACCCTAAACCCTAAACCCTAAACCCTAAACCCTGCTGCTGCGCAGGTGCTGCTGCCTCCCACAATGACTGCGGAGGACTTAAAGCCTGCGAAGCAGGAGCAGCGCATTCACCCCGAAGTCACCGAACGGCTGCGGCGGAGGGGCCCCCCGGAGGGGCCCCCCAGCCCCGAGGAGGAGCAGCAGTTTGCTTCAGTGGACGGCACTGTTGAGATGCACAGACCCGCCACAGACCCCAGGCTCCCCGGTCTGCTGCTGCTGCTGCTGCTGCTGCTGCTGCTGCTGCTGCTGCTGCTGCTGCTGCTGCTGGTGCGGGTGCTGGTGGTGCGGGTGCTGGTGCTGGGAGTGCTTTGGGGCCGCTGTTGGCTGCTGCTGCTGCTGCTGCTGCTGCTGGTGCTTTTGGCGCCGCGGTTGGCTGCTGCTGCTGCTGCTGCCATTGCTGCTGCTGCTGCTGCTGCTGCTGCTGCTGCTGCTGCAGGGAGCTTCCGCCCGGACCCGCTGCTGCAGCGCAGCCAAGTGACCCCGCAGTTCGTGCGGGGCATTAACAGCCAACACGCCCGCTGGGACGACTCGGTGTACCACCGCACGCCCAAGACCCGCACTGCTGAGGAGCGGAGGCCGCAAGGTGACTGCAGCAGCAGCAGCAGCAGCAGCAGCAGCAGCAGCAGCAGCAGCAGCAGCAGCGGTAGCGGCAGCGCAGCGGCAGCGGGGGCGGAGGCAGGAACTGAGCTGCGGCGGCAGCAGCAGAAGCAGGACTGAGCTGCTAAAGCTGCAGCAGCAACAGCGGCTGTGGCTGCAGCAGCGACTGCTGCAGCCGGAGCAGCAGCACTCGCTGTTGCTGCTGCTGCTGCTGCTGCTGCTGCTGCCGCTGCTGCTGCTGCTGCTGCTGCTGCCTTTGGCTCTTCTGCCCCTGGCTGCCGCCCAGCCGCTCTCTGGTTTCCTTGGAAGTTCTTTGTGTTTCTTTTAATCTCTTTGTCTTATTTATTTATTTATTTTTACTTTTTATTTCTTTTAATCTCATTACTGTTTAATTATTCGTTTTAATATCTCTTTTCTGTTTTCCTTTCTTCTGCCCCACTCTATCTCTTGTCTTACAACCCCTTCCTCCACTTCTTTAGCCCTCCCTTCTCCGCCTGAAAACCACCTTCCCTGCTGCTGCTGCTGCTGCTGCTGCTGCTGCTGCTGCTGCTGCTGCTGCTGCTGCTGCTGCTGCTGCTTGCTGATTCTGCTGCTGCTGCTGCTGCTGCTGCTGCTGCTGCTGCTGCTGCTGCTGCTGCTGCTGCTGCTGCTGCTGACGAGCTGCTGGGCTTCCAGCAAGAGCCCGAAGACCTCAGCAGCACCCAAGCCCGCATCAAAGTCTTGGGCCACACCGAAGGCGCCACAGTACCCCCTGAGGGCCCCCAGCCGGCCCTCACCCGCATCAGCCCAGGCGGTAGGCCTTCAACCCTCCACTCTTGGGGCCCCCTAGGGGCCCCTGGGGGCCCCCTGGGGGCCCCCTGGGGGCCCCCTAGGGGGCCCTTTAGGGGGCGTTTAGGGGGCTTTTAGGGGTTCTTAAGCGGCTTTTTAGGGAGCCCCTAGGGGCACCTTTAGCAGCCCTTTAGGGGCACTTTAGAGCCACTTTAGGGGGCCCTTAGGGGCATTTTTTGGGGCCCCCAAGGGGATCCCAAGGGGCCCCTGGGGGCCGCCTGGGGCCCCCTGGGGGCCCCTTAAGGTACCACTGGTGTTCGTTGTTTGGCTGTTTTTGGAGTTGTTGAGTTTCTTTTTGTTTCGTTTGTTTGAGTTTTTTGTTTCTTTTTTATCTCTTGTGGCTCCTTGTGCTTGCGGCACTTTGTGCTCTTTTATCTTTTCTTTTTTTCTTCTTTTTTCTCCATTTGTTTTTTGCATTTTGTCTTCTCCCGCCTCTATTTGCCTCTCCTTTTGCCTTCATTTGTTTCTTTTAATCTCTTTTTGTCTCTTCTCTTTTTGTCTCTTTTTGTTTTTTGTTTTCATTATCTCATCCCGAACTTCTTTGCATGCAGTTTCAGTTTCGGGTGTTTCCACCTGGGAGGTACTTGTCCATCTTTTGTCCACTTGAGCGTTTTGGATTTTGCGACTTTTTGCGAATGTGCCGAAATAACTAATTAGCGAAACATCCGAAGAGTTAGTTCATTCTTTAGCGGAGAAAACGGAGAATAACTTGGAAAGAAAAGCAAATTAATTGACTAATTCGTTGAAGAGCAATTGAGAGTTAAGTGTTTTTTGTTTTTTTTACGAACTTGAATTTGCCCAGGAGCCCGCCCCTCCGAAGTCGGCCTCACCTTCGAGTCCTCCGTCAACCCCGAGGCCGCCCCCGAAGACCCCATAAGTCAATTTGTAGATGTGCTGCTGGGGGGGCGGGCCGTGCGGCCTGCTGCAGCTAGCCAGCCAGCTAGCCAGCCAGCTAGCCAGCCAGCTAGCCGGCCAGCTAGCCAGCCAGCTAGCCACACAGAGCCCAGCCTCTTCTCCCTCCCCATGACCCCCACTGCGGCCCCCAAGGTCAAGGCCTTGGGGCTAGCTGAGGGGCTGCTGCCCTCTGAAGAGCTCATTACCCACCACTGGAGAGGCAGCAGCAGCAGCAGCAGCAGCAGCGCGCAGCACAACCTCAGGAAGCCCGGGCAGCAGCAAAGGACTCAGGCGCCCTTCGCCTCTCTCTGGAGCCAAATCAGCACCATTCCCTGAGGCCTAGGGTTTGCGCTTCAGGGTTTAGGGTTTAGGGTTTAGGGTTTGCCGCCCAGGGTTTGGACTTTGCTGCTGCGGGCTCTGCGCAGCTGACCGCATGCGCAGTCTCAGGTGTATGTACACCTCGGTGTACTCAACAGCGGCAAAAGCAGGTGCTATTAAACCACAGGGGCCCCCAGGGGGCCCCTGCAGGGGCCTCCAGAGGCCCCCGGGGGCCCCCGGGGGCCCCCAGGGGCCCCTGGGGCCCCACAGATTTGCAGGGGGCCCCATAAGGCCAATAGGCGGCGACAGGTGGCCCCCCAGGGGCACTGGTATGTGGGGCCAAGACCCCTGGGGGGCCCCCAGGGGCCCCCAGGGGCCCCCAGGGGCCCTCCGGGGCCCCCGGGGGCCCTATAGGGGCCTAGTGGGGCCGCATAGGGGCCCCACTAGGGCCCCACAGGGACCCCTGAGGGGCCCCACTGGGGCCCCCCAAAGCGGCGGGACGGCAGCTTTGGGGGCCCCGCTTTGCATGCATCAGGTGGCACAGAAAAAGAGACAAACAGCAGCAATTGTCTCTTTTTAGTTTGAGTGATTTTCCCCTCTGCGGGCCTCAGAGGGCTTTCTTGAGTCTGCAGCACCAGCAGCAGCAGCAGCAGCAGCAGCGGCGCAGCAGCAGCGCAGCAGCAGCAGCAGGTGGTCTCAGGTGCGCAGACACCTCGTCAACGGCCGTGGGGTGTACGTACACCCCAGCTGCATGCATGTGTGGGGCGGCAGCGCATGCAGCCCCATTCTTCAAAAGGGCGGAGTCTTCACAATCTCCACAACAAGCGTTTGCATGCGCTTCCGTGCATGCACTTGCATGCACGGAAGCGCATGCAAGTGCATGCATGCGAAGCTGCATGCACTTGCATGCATGCGAAGCTGCATGCAGCTGCAGGCATGCAGCTGCATGCATGCAGCTGCAGCTGCATGCATGCGGCTGCATGCATGCAGCTGCATGCACTTGCACGCAGCGGGCCTTGCATGCGCAGGTGCTTGCATGCGCCTGCATGCACGCAAGCACTCCGACTCGCATGCATGCTTGCATGCATCAATGACTGCATGCATGCACGCATGCATACACTAATGCCTGCATGCATGCATGCATACACTAATGCCTGCATGCATGCATGCATGCCTGCATGCACACACAAATGCCTGCATGCACGCATGCATGCACACACGAATGCCTGCATGCATGCAGTAATGCATGCGCTGGCTCGGGTTTGCATTTGTTGTTTTCTTTTCTTCTTTTGCTGCTCTTCACTTCGTGCTGCTGCGAAGCGGCTTTTGCTGCCGCCCCACGCAGAACGCCCAGCGGCTCTTCTCTCCCTAGACGAGAGGGAAAAGCTCCGCCCTTTAAGCACTCCACGCGTCACCAACAGCTAGCTAGCTAGCTAGCTAGCTAGCTAGCTAGCTAGCTAGCTAGCTAGGCAGGCGGCTAGCTAGCCAGCCAGCTAGCTCCCAGAGGGGGAAAAGCTCCGCCCTTTTAGCACTTCACGCGTCACCAACGGCTAGCTAGCTAGCTAGCCAGCCAGCTAGCTAAGCAGGTAGCCTGATAGCCAGCTAGCTAGCAGGCGGCTAGCTAGCAGGCGGCTAGCAGGCGGCTAGCTAGCCAGCCAGCTCCTAGCGAGGGAAAAACTCCGCCCTTTAAGTACTCCACGCGTCACCAACAGCTAGCTCGATAGCTTGCTAGCCAGCTAGCCAGCTAGCTAGCCAGGTAAATGGCTAGCCAACCAGCTAGCTAACTAACTAGCTAGCTAGCTAGCCAGACAGCCAGCTAGCCAGCTAGCCAGCTAGCCAGCCAGCTGGCCAGGCAGCTAGTCAGCTAGCTAGCCGGCTGGCAAGCTAGTTAGCCAGATAGCCAGCCACCTACCTAGCCAGCTAGCCAGACAGCTAGCCAGTCAGCTAGCGAGCTAGCTCAAAAGAGGCGAAGGAAATAAAGAAACGGAAAAAATAAAATGGAACAAAAAACGGAAGAAAAAAAGGGGGGAAAAAGAGCAGAACGCTGCAGAAGGAGAAGATAAAAGAGAAGACCAGCGAGGCTTTAACCCCTAACTTAGGCTAGCTAGCTGCGGCTAGCCAGCCTAAGTTAGCTGCGGCTAGCTAGCTGCGGCTAGCTAGCTGCGGCTGGCTAGCTGCGGCTAGCTAGCTGCGGCTAGCTAGCTGCGGCTAGCTGACTATGGCCAGCTAGCTGCGGCCAGCTGGCTGGCGTCAGCTAGCTGCGTCTAGCTAGTCAAAGCTAGCTGGCTACGGCAAGCTAACTGCAACGAGCTAGCCACAGGTGGCTAGCTGAGTCTAGCTAGCTACGGCTAGCTAGCTGTGTCTAGCTAGTTCCGGCCAGCTAGCTGCTGCTGCTGCGCTCCTGCGACGCACAGCAACAGCAGCAAAGCAGCAACAGCAGCAAAGCAGCAACAGCAGCAAAGGAGCAAGCAGCAACAGCAGCAAAGCAGCAACAGCAGCAAAACAGCAACAGCAGCAAAACAGCAACAGCAGCAAAGCAGCAACAGCAGCAAAACAGCAACAGCAGCAAAACAGCAAGAGTCTTCAACCACTTGAGAAATTTTCAAGTCAGTGCCAAAGACATCCTACACGACCTCAGCAGCAAACTGGCGGCTGCTAAGCCCTAAATGTCTATTGCTTCCCCTGCTGCTGCTGCTGCTGCTGCTGCTAGCGCCACAATTCTCGCCGCTGCTTGTCCTGTTCCGCAGCAGCAGCAGCAGCAGCAGCAGCAGCAGCAGCAGCAGCACCAACTGCTGAGGACGCCACAGCACCACAGTGGGCACCAACACAGCTGCTCCAGGACTGGAACCTGCTGCTGCTGCTGCTGCTGGCGCCGCTGCTGCTCTTACCAAACGTCTGCAGCAGCAGCAGCAGCAGCAACAGCAGCAGCAGCTGCTGCTCCGTGTTGCCCGCCAACTCCTTCCTTCCGAGTTTGGTAAATCACTTTTTTTAGATCTGAAGAAAAAAGAAAAAAGAAATAAAAGAAGCAGCAGCAAACAAATGAAACTCCATCAAATCAACACAGAATAACATCAACCGCCCCAACGACAGCAGCAGCAGCAGCAGCAGCAGCAGGTGCTGCTGCTGCAGCAGGTGCGGCTGCAGCAGCAGGAAATGAGTTCTTCCGCTCGCCTGCTGCGGCCTTGCGGATGAATTTTATTTTTATTTTGAAATTAAATTAAATTTATTTCAAATAAAACCATTTAAATGAAACATAAATTAGAGCAGCAAACTATCCAATCAAATAAACTCCACTTTTAAACTTCAAAAAAAAAAACCCAAAAAACTTTTTGCTGCCTCTGCATGCACCCCTGCGCCCCTACCCACACCCACCCCCCGCTGCAGCAGCTGCTGCAGCAGCAGCTGCAGCAGCAGCTGCAGCAGCAGCTGCAGCTGCTGCAGTGCTGCAGCAGCGGCTGCTGCAGTGCTGCAGCAGCAGCAGCAGCTGCTGCGGCGCAGCAGCAGCTGTTGCGCCGCAGCACCAGCAGCAGCAGCGGGCGCTGCGGCGCAGCAGCAGCAGCAGCAGCAGCAGCAGCTTACGTCGTCGACGTCGAGGTCCTGCTGCTGCTCGTCGTCCTCGCTGGCGGATCCCGATCCCGATCCCGACTCCTGGAACTCGATCCCACCTCCCGCGTTGTCTTCTTCTCCAAAAGCATCCGTTTCATTTATTTTGGCATTTGCCGGAAGTTCTCCGAAGGACTTGAGCGCTCGCGCCTCGTCCGGGGTGTATCTACACCAGACCCCACAGCCCAGACACCCCACACCTCCTGCTGCTGCTGCTGCTGCTGCTGCTGCTGCTGCTGCGGGGGCAGCAGCAGCTGCGAAGGCGCAGCAGCGCAGCAGCTGCGCTGCCGCACTTCCTTAGTGCGCAGCAGCAGCGCACTCACCAGGGAACGCGCGAAACACTACGCGCTACACAAAACACTAAACCCTAAACCCTAAACCCTAACACTCAACACTAAACCCTAAACCCTAAACCCTAAACCCTACTTGGCGATCACGTCGCCCTTGTTGTCTTGAAAGTCCCGCAAAGACACCAACA